GTGAACGCCTTCAAAAAATTACTTCGCTGAACTGCCAACTGAGATGAAACTAGCACACAGGTTATACCATGAAAGACCAAATTAACGACGCCCCCATTCAGCAGGAAGCAGTTTGGAGAGAAATAACTGCGCCCAAATTCCCAAAAAATGTTTATAAATGTTCTTTTACATTTAAAGGGGGATATGATATAGATATGAATAATTTGCATTAGTATAGATTTTGCTTTATTGATAGAGATTTAAGGTCAATTTTGTTATATGTATAAGTGTTTCTGATTTTGATTAAGGTATTGTGATTGTGTAGTTCATTTAAATATGTACTGTATAATTAAGAAATATAGGTTGTTAATGGATAATCATCGATAATAGTAAAGCTTGTAGTTATGTTAGTTAGATTTTCTAGATATATAGAGATGTATTTCAGTTAGATAGACATTCTTCATGTCTTTCAAAGATTACAGAATAGGACATTTAATGTTTTAATAACTGAGGACTTTTCATGACAATGAGACACTCTGCTTCTGGCAGCACCAATCTACTTCAAGAGGAAGATGGGCATCGAAGAGGCTCGTTATGGAGTTTTGATAGCCATTTGGGCAAGAAACTGCTCTTGCCTGGACTATTGCATAAACTGGACACAGAGAACCCGCGGAGAGAGGACTACTGAACTTGCCTAAGGTGAGATGATCTTTTGGGGTTCCTGATTCATGAGAGAGTCTGTGAGACATTCTGCAGGACACAACAGATAGTGACTGAACTGACTTTGAATTTTCCTGCTTTATGGAAATGTCTGCTGGATACCATGGGCCTGAAGGCTGAAGATGGATGCCCCAACGGTACAGAGGAACTTTGGGTGACTATCCAGGCAGCGAGATGTCTGTCATTTCTAGAGTTTGAAGTTTCTTAGTTCTTGTTTACTTAGGTAATATTATATCTTTCTGGAGTCTTTGATGGAGTTAAGAATAGTTAGTTATAGTTATAGTTTTCCTTAGTTATGATAAAGATTATTGTAACTTTTACTTGATAACTGTTTTGTTATATGTAATTTTGCTATGTTAAATCCCTTTTTTTTTGTTTAAACCGAAAAAGGGGAAATGATGGAGGAAGGTCATTGGCTAATAAAGGCACTGCCCTGGCCCATTTAATTGGTTAGAGGATAGGTGGGAGGAGAAAACAGGACAGAACGCTGGGAGGAAGAGGAAGTGAGGTCAGAGACTACACAGCTCTGCTCTCTCGGGAGCAGATGCCTGAGAGAGAGACGCGATGCCCCGCTCCTGGGATGAAGCTCCGACCCAGGATGGACTAGGCTAGAATCTTCCCGGTAAGACCGGTTCTCACAGATTATTAGAGATGGGTTGATCGGGATGTGAAAATTAGCCTGTAAGTGCTAGAGCTAAAGGGCCAAGTAGTGCTTAAAAGAATACAGTTTGTGTGTTGTTATTTTGGAGCATAAGCTAGCCTAGCGGGCGGCTGGGGAGCTGGGGTGCTGGGGACGCGGCCCCGCCGCCCCTAATACTACACATATTAGAGTACTACTCAGCAGTAAAAAACAAGGACTTCTTGAATTTTGCATGCAAATGGATGGAAATAGAAAACACTATCCTGAGTGAGGTAAGCCAGACCCAAAAAGAGGAACATGGGATGTACTCACTCATATTTGGTTTATAGCCATAAATAAAGGACATTGAGCCTATAATTAGTGATCCTAGAGAAGCTAAATAAGAAGGAGAACCCAAAGAAAAACATATAGGCATCCTCCTGAATATTAACCTTCAGCAGGCGATGAAAGGAGACAGAGACAGAGACCCACATTGGAACACTGGACTGAAATCTCAAGGTCCAAATCAGGAGCAGGAGAAAGAGCACGAGCAAGGAACTCAGGACCGCGAGGGGTGCACCCACACACTGAGACAATGGGGATGTTCTATTGGGAACTCACCAAGGCCAGCTGGCCTGGGTCTGAAAAAGCCTGGGATAAAACCGGACTCACTGAACATAGTGGACAATGAGGACTACTGAGAACTCAAGAACAATGGCAATGGGTTTTTGATGCTACTGCACGTACTGGCTTTGTGGGAGCCTAGGCAGTTTGGATGCTCACCTTACTAGACCTGGATGGAGGTGGGTGGTCCTTAGACTTCCCACAGGGCAGGGAACCCTGATTGCTCTTTGGGCTGACGAGGGAGGGGGACTTGATTGAGGGAGGGGGAAGGAAATGGGAGGCGGTGGCGGGGAAGAGACAGAAATCTTTAATAAATAAAAAGAAAAAAAAGAAAAAGTAGTAATAAAATGACTCCTAATTATATACTGCCCACTCATAGATCAGTGCCTTATTCGCCCAACATCAGAGAATCTCCCTCTTGCAGCAGATGGGAAAGCAGATGGGAATAAACATAGAGCCATACAATACCCTCAGCCATACAATATGCAAAGAGCCAGGACTTAGAACACACAGCTCTGAATGGGATGTCTCAATCACATCCCTCTACTCAGGACTCAGAGAACCCTGAAGAAGAGGAAGCAGAAAGAGTGTAAGAGCCAGAGGGGGATGGAAGACACCAGGAGAACAGGTCCTCTAAATCAACTGAGCAAAGCTCATATGAACTCAGAGACTGAAGCAGCAAGGACAGTGCCTATACCAGGTCCTTTGCACATATATTATAGCTTTCACTTTAGTATTTTTATGGGACCCTGAGTGTGTGAATGAGTGGGTCTCTGATTCTTGTGCCTTCTTTTGGGGTTCTTTTCCTTTCCTTGGTTTTGCTCTGTCAAAATGAAAAAATTATAGAGATGGAAAACAAATTTGGAGATGATGTGGGGCATTTGCAGCATGTTAACTATAAAGCGGTAGCACAAGAACTGTGTTGATGACAGTTCTGCATCTTGGTTGTGGTGGTTACACAGACACACAGAGAAAATACTGACATTCACACTGAACCAATGGTTTTGATACTGTTCTATAATTAAGCTATAACCATCAGGGAAACTGGCTGAAGGATATGCAGAACATCTTCATACTATATTTGTAGCTCCCTGTGACTTCATACTTATTTTGAAGTTAAGAAGGTAAAAAGGGAACACTATCCATTCTCATATTTATTTACTAAATATGTACATTTGTTATCTAATTTTAGTCAAGTATGGACAGTCTTTAATTACTGGTGTAAAGTAGATTCTTTAAACCTATTTGTTATAACGTATAAATACCTTAGAGCCAAGTATAAAGCATAAAAAGCATTTGCTTCTAGAAATAAAGACTAAGAGGTAGGGGCTGAGGAATAGAAGAAAAGGCTCTTTTCATTATGTTTCTTTTGCTCTATAGATATTTAACCCATTTCTATGTGTTACTTTTAAAACATGTTTTATGGAAATAGTAAGTAGAAAGTTATAAAATAAAAGGAAGAATTATGATAGAACTTTTCTTAAGCATCCAGTTAAAGAAAAAGGAAAGAGTTTTAAACTCTCTTATACATTATTCTCATTTTCCTTTATAATCTCTCCTGAGAAATGATAGCCTAAATTCTGTTTATCATTACTCTGCTTTCTTCCCAGTTTATTGTTTATATCTCCTTTTTCCTTTTTTCTTTGTTTGTTTGATGGAGACAGGGTCTCATGTAGAACAAGATGACCTCAAATCCACTATGTAAACAAAAATGATTTTGAATTTTTTATTCTTCTGCCTCCATATCTCTAGTGCTTGGATTATAGGCATGAGCCATTGCCATAGAATAATCCTTTGTACACTGTGGCAATATATTGCTCTCATTGGTTTAATAAAGAGCTAACTGGCCAAGAACTAGTCAGGAAGAAGTCAGACAGGAGGGCCAGACTGAAAGAACACTGGGAAGGAGGGTGGGGTCACCGGCCAGCCACAGAGGAAGCAGGAGATGAACATGCTCTGGTGAAAAAAAGGGACCACCACATGGTAGAGCATAGGTAAGAAATATGGGTTAATTTAATATGTAAGAGTTAGTTAAGCAACAAGCCTAAGCTATTGGCCAAGAATTTATAAATAATAATAAGTCTCTGTGTGGTTATTTGGTAGCTGGCTGGCAGGACAGAAAAGCCATCATGCCCAATTTTATGGGGGTAAGGGGATTGAATCAAGAGACTTCTTCGTGGTATACTTTTGAATTTAACATAATGGAATCACGGTGCATATATTTTTCTGTGTCTTGTACCACCAATCATTACTCTGAGTTTGAAACACATTTGGGTTTTGTATATAATTAATTCATTTTTACTTCTGTAGAATGTTCCAAATAAATATAATGTATCTAATGTACATAAAAGAAGGTATGTGTATACATATGCATATATGATATGTAGAGAATGTTTAAAATTGTACATACAAAATCATGTAATACACATATATCAATACTTATTATATATGATGTATTAAATGTAAAAAAAATTTCACCATATTTTTGTATTTAAAATGGTTATCTCTTAGGGGCTAGGATATAGCTCAGTGACTGAGACTTTACCTAGAATGTGCTAGGAATCATGTTTGAACTCCAGTATGACAAAAAAAATAACAAAGCAAAAAAGGCTACCAATGACAAATTGTCACAACAGAAAGTCTCTTTCCTTAGAAATAAGACCAGTATTATTTTTTTATTTATACACTATTAATACTGTCAAAATATGTGCCCATAGGAAGCTTAGAAGTATTTTTGTTATTCTTGATTTTTTTTCTTTTTTTTTTAAATACTAGAGTCTGAACCTAAGGTCTTTTATATACTAGGTAAGTACTTTATGCACTTAGATCTATATAGTGTTCTTTCATTTTTAAAATTATAAATAAAATAAAAATAATGAATATTTAAAAAATTATATGTAACTGTGCTTATAGCACAATATTTACATAAGTTTAATAGATTATATAAATAATTGGTAAATCAGAGTATAACGACAATGTTCTTGCACAAAAAATAACTTTAAAAAAACAGTAGCAAGGAGGTGACAAATACCAAAATTTCTGAGAAAATACAACTAACCTTGACTGATGAAAGTCCAACTTTTTCTGGAGACCTGTTCAGAAACAAAAGATGGTGTTAGATTGAAGAAACAAGAAAGACTTCTACATATAAGAAAGACAAACTTGCATTAAAAAAAATTAGGTATATATTTTGTTACTGGAAAATCTTATTTTTGTATAACAAAATATGGAAAACAAAAGAGCAGGGAAGAAAGTTAAATCAGATATTAATAAGCTTACCACCATCTGTCTTCATAATACATATACTATAGGGAGCTTTGTACATAAGAAACTGTACAACTCCACAATAAAATTCCTCAAAATGATTTTTCTAGATGTGAAATTGTGGGTTGAAAGTATAAAAATTTAAAATTTTTAGGAAGCTTTCAGACTGCTATCCAGACACACCAATTTATGCTCTCACTACTTTAAGAATGCCAGTTTAATACCATCACCAAAAATGAGTGCCATTTACAGTACTTGCCAATTTGATGAACAAATGTATATATCTGTCTTTTGTTACACTTCTTTGTTTGCTAACATGGTTGAAAATTTTCATAGCATTATACATACTGATTTTGGAAAGAGAAATCATTTTCGTTTTTGACTTCAATTTTTCTACTGGAGCAAACCTCTACTCAAACCTGGGGTAAAGTCAAATAATACAAGTCTAAAAAAATAAAAACATATAGTGATAAAAACATGTAGAGATAAAATAACTCCTAATGATATTCTGCCATTCTCATAGATCAGTGCCTTGTTCGGTTACCATCAGAGAAGCTTCCTCTTGCAACAGATGGGAACAAATACAGACACTCACAGTCAGACTTGACACAGAGAGTGAGAGACTTTGGAACACTCATCCCTAAATGGGTTGTCTCCATCAAATCCCTCCACTCAGGGCTCAGGGAATCTCACAAAGGAGGAGGTAGAAAGATCAGAGAAGTAAAGCAGGCAGCCACTAGAGTTCTTACCTCTATAAAATCTTCAAACTAAAGGGGGGTGAGCTCCTATCTCCTCCTGCCTTATATTCCTCTCTCCACCCAGCCATATCACTTCCTGTCTCCACCTGCCTAGTGCTGGGATTAAAAGAGTCAACCAAGTGCTGGGATCAAAGGTGTGAGCTAGCTCCGCCCCTCTCTCTGAATCAAATGTATGAGCTCTGTTTCTCTCTCTCTCTCTCTCTCTCTCTCTCTCTCTCTCTCTCTCTCTCTCTGAATCAAAGGTATGAGCTCTGTTTTTTTTTTCTCTCTCTCTGGTTTTATGAGACAGGATTTCTCTGTGTAACAGCCCTGGCTGTCCTGGAACTAGCTCTTGTAGACCAGGCTGGCCTTGAACTCACAAAGATCCACCTGACTCTGCCTCCCTAGTGCTGGGATTAAAGTCCTGCGCCACCACTGCTTTTAGGCTGGTTAAATCTCCAGTGACTCAGTGTGGCCTTAACCTCCTGATCTTCCTGCTTCTACTTCACCGGTGGGATTAAAGGCATTAGCCACCACTGCCTGGTCTCTATGATTAAGTAGTACCTAGCTCCACCATCTGATCTTCAGGCAAGCTATATTTGCTAGAGTACAAACAAAATATCACCACAAAGAAAGGAGGCATAGAACTTGAAGGAATAGAGGGGAAAACTATAATCAGGATATATTATGTAAGAAAAGAATCTATTTTCAATAAAAGAGAAAATAACAATAATAAAAATAGTCTACCCTTAAACATAGACTACTCTAGATATAGTAATTTCAAAAGTAATTTCTTACCAATTATCTTTACTGATTCTTTCCTCACCTTTTCCCTTTTTAAAAGTAAGAACATTGGCTTCAAAGCATAATCAAGAGAACACATTTATGGCCAATTAGTATACCTCAGGGCTACACAGCAACAGTAAACAGTTAATTTGCCATTCCTGAGGATTATGAAAAATAAAATGCAATTATCACAGATGATATAACTTTGGGCTGAATGGCAGCTTGAAACCAAAACCATTTAATCACAGTGTTTTTGCAGAGATAGAAAAACATTTTAAGAGACTGGGTGACTTTTCCTCAAAGTCATATTTATAATAAGAGCCAAACTGCCATATTCTCTGTATGCCATATTTAGTATGATGTTGTTATAAGAATCTTCAAGATCTACTTAAAATTTTGTGGGAAACAAAATGACTTTCAAAGAACACTCAATCCCTTCACTGAACAAACATTTCTGGAATACCACTATGTCCTAGGACTAGAGATTAGAAGATGAAATAGACAACTGTAGTTGGTTTTTCTAAGGTTACTAAAAAACCACAAAATTAACTGTCATAAGCAGTGCCCATTTAACCATAAGTAGTTTTGGTCAATATAAATTTGGGTTAACAAAGGGCAATTTCCAGAAATAAAAACAGGTTTTGTTTTGTTAAGACAGAGACTTGATACACAGTCCAAACTCAAGATTTTCCTGCCTCAGTCTCCTGAGTACTGGGATTACTGGGATTATATGCTTGGTATGTTGACATTTGCTTCTCTAGTCAAATCTACATTGCTGTGTAATAAAATCCTACATATGGGAAGCTTGTTAGAACTAAGGTTATTCTAATTTCAAAGAAAGAAAGAAATATCAATTCTATAGAAATGGATGTTTAAAACAAACAAGTCAATCCAAACAAAAATAAAGACCTTAAAAAGCTCAAATTTCCATAAACCTCAAATTCTGAAGGGCAATGTGAGGAGGTGCAGACTTGCAATAGAGGTCTAAAAGCCAGAGCTAAGTTCTCTAAAAACAAAACAAAACAGAAACAAATATACTAAAACCCATAGGAAGTAGAGAAAGGAGGAAATTTTGTTCATCTCAGGATCCTTACACCTGTAGAAATTTGGCCAGGTTCACTGCCTTCATCCCCTAGAAAGGAAGATATTGTTAGTTAGCTCTTATATGCAGTAGGTTCCTGGCTGTTGATGTGATGTCTAAGTTATTGGCCAGTTGTTGACATTAATGGAGATATTCCAGATTATGCTGAGTAACTACTTCTTTTTGAAAGACAAGGGGCATAGTATAACAGTCTTTTAAGCAGGCTAACGTTGTTTGAACACTGTTTAATGATATCCCATGTGTTGATCAAACCACTTAATGATTCAGTTTCTTAAAGGTACTGTTTGGTCCTCTGCAGAAGGGGGTAAAAATATCTCCCTTGGACTGATATGAGGATTCAGTCAGGGTGTATGAAGACAGTGCATGATAGTTTCTTTAGCAACTTTGAATTGCTCCACATTTTTCCATGGTACTTTGGCAGCTCTCAGTAGTGAGGAGCCAAAAACTAATTTCTGGGCACAAAAACGGTACTGTACAGCCTCTAAAGCACCGGCTCATTTAAAAAGAGTAAAAAAGCCAGAGTATACTGAGCTGGGGATTCAAATGAAATCTTATCAATGGGTGATACTATTAAACGAAAAACCTGGAAACCAAAACCACTCACATTTGAAGGATATTTAAGTATAAAGTCGTTAAGAGTTTGGTGTGTAGCAAAATATTTAAAACTACCATGGTTTCTTCTAATGTTTTAAGCTTAAAACTGTTTTTTTTTTGATCAGGGTAGTATGTAATGTTGGAATTCTTTTGTTATGCATTTCTGATCTATTTATAAAACTTCAGTGCCTAGTAAAAAGTAAAAAAAATACATTTAACTTGTAAATGACCTTTGTCATGTGCCAAGATGAGGAAAAAACAATTTATTCCAACATAAAAAGCAGCAAACGGGACTGCAGAGATCGCTAAATGGTTAAGAGTGACCTCTGCTCTTGTAGAAGACTCTTTAGGTCTCAGCACCCAGGGGAGGCAGCTACCAGTAACTCAGGCTCCATGGAACCCAATACACTTTTCTGGCTGCTGTCACTCACACACATATGACATACACTGACACAAACATAAATAATAAACAAACAAATAAATAATAGTAATCATTATGGTGTATATATACAGTCCAAGTTTTTCTAATAGGGGCTATATAAATAATAAAACAATGGCCATCATTTATCACGTATGTGCCAAAACAATACTAACATATTTGAACTTTTTGAGTCCTCAAAAGTCTCCTACTAATTATATTATTTTCACAGAACAAAAGTCTAACTTGGATCAGACTCAATCATTTAAATTCTATCTTTAAAATGCAGGGGCTGGAATGTGACCTTAGGCAGCTTGATTCAAGGCTTTCAACCACTTTGCAATATTGCCTCCTTTCTGGGCAAGGTCTTAAAACACTGCAAAAGTTGAAGATTCAAAGGTTTCATTTCTCTGGAGATATTACATATGAATCTTTATTTCATTCCCAGGCTATGGCATGTCAATTACACATTCATTGTAGCTATTAAGGGCCAGCCAGAATTCAAAGCCTTAAACAAGTTTAGTCCAACTCATGAAGCAGCATTAATTGCCTTCACTTTGCTGTTCATGCATAGACCAGTTACTGTTGTTTCCCAACCATTGTCTTTCAATGGTTTTTGAACATAAAATCTCAAAAGTACCTTGTATATAAATACATGAGCAAGCCTTGCAATTTCAGTATCTGTCACTTAGAAATAACTCTTTAGATAAAAGATGTGTAATTCCTGTAGGGCCCTGGTCTGCCCTTGTTCCTAGGGTGTATTTGCGGGGACAGTTTATGGTCAGCTGACTAAGCATCCTGTTTGTTTCTGTGCTCTCCCCCCCCCCCCCCCCCCCCCCGTGATTAGCTGCAGGGCATTGTCTCCATTGTTAATATGGTAATTTCCCATCTGCCTGGGCAGAGATCCTTGTGCAGCAGTTAGGTAGATAAGGACTCCCCCAAATCTGAATAAACTGGCATTCAGCTGGTCTCCTTTCAAATGACCCTGGTCTCTGTGTGTGTTCTTTCAATCTCCAGGCCCTTGCTCAACTCGACTCCCGTGTGGAACAGTGGCGCGCAAACTGTACCGAAGGTGTAACACAAAATCGGATGTTACAAATTCCCCCTTAATTAGCATGCTCAAATATAATACTTTAATATAATAATGCCATCTTGGAGGTGATAGAATACAGGGACCTTATTTGTTTTTAT